CCATCTGCTCCTGAAGAAGTAAGTCTAGTAGAGACCAAAGGATGGTGAGCAGTCAGGCCTCTCTGGTCCTGTCCCTGTCCTTCAGAGATACAGCTGACCAAATTAGAGAAACTCAGCTAGCCACAGGAGACTCTAATGAGCCCACAGATAGCTTGTGATCTAGCTGGTGAGCCTAGTAAGGAATGGTTTTGTTGTTCTTCTTGTTGTCCAATAAAATTGAAATAAGTCCATCACAGGTCTAGCTCCAAATATTGTAGGCATTAAGGTCAGGCACGGTGGTACATACTTGTAATCCAGGCTAGGTAGGAGACAGAAGTAGGAGGATTGCCCTGGGCAAAAAATAGTAAGACCTTACCTGAAAAATAAACTAAAGCAAAAAGGGCTGGAGGTGTGGATTAAGGAGTAGAATATTTGTCTAGCAAAAGCACAGTGCTGAGCTCAAACCCCAGGACCATCCCCTCCCAAATGTAAGAATTAGAGACTAGCAATTGTCCAGAAGTAGTCAAAAAGATCTCAAGCTTTTGCAAGTAGCATCCAAGGACCATTAAGGTAGTCCAGGACACTGAAGAACTGCAGGAATACCCAAGGATTGCATGGCTTTCCCTCCCTTCCTCCAATGTAGACAGCAAGGGTCAGTCATGGCCTCAGAGTAAGGCTATTCCTCAAAAGTAGTCTCTGGCCTGTACTTTGGCCACACAACAAAAGAACCTTTCAGCTTGGTCTGAGACAGCAGCCATTTTACACACTTAAGTCCCAAGCAACACACAAAGATCGTATGTCAATTCGGTTGGGGACACCAGCATTTTCTAGAAAGTATGGAAATTCCTTTGCCTGCAAAAATTAATCATCTCAATTTACTCCTGTGTAGTAAGTCCAAGCCCAGAAATGACTGGAAAAAGACTGTGGTGTGGAATGAACCTGTTGCTCAGTTGCACAGTGTATGTGTTTGGGAAAGAGATGGCCCCTCAACTCCAGACTCCTCATGTTTGGTCTTATTCTCCTCCCTACAGATCAGCAGACACAGTCCCTGGAGGAGCAGTCCCTCTGCAGCAGCTTGGAAACCACTCACATGCTCTGAAGGGACGGCTCTGAGCCTGGAGCAAGGGGGTGGGGGTGGGAGAGGAGGAGGGGAGAGAGAAGATAATGAATGGGCAGATCCACCCTGATCTGTGATCTGTAACTAGGATTGAGCAAACCTCAGCTAAATTCGTCAGAGGCAGGAAGACAGATACACACTCAGAGATACATAACATAACTAAAGGATAGGGCTGGGGACACAGGGAGCAAAACAGAAGACAGCTGATTCCCAACAAGTGACCCAGAATTCAAACTGTGCTTAAGACCTGGTTGGCTCTGTGGTTTGAGGAAGGAGAGGAAGTAAGGAGCGGTGGGAAAGCAAACGTACTTCTGTGCGTGTGGAACGGTCTTACCCAGAACCCTCCTCCTCCGCCGCCTAAAGGAAATTGAGATAAAATTCTTTCAGAGCTGGAGGGAACACTGTTTTTTTGTGGGACGCGGGGAAAGAAAACGGCGACAGACAGTACTCTCCGCTACCTCCAGAAGAGAAAGGAGACAGGGTTCCTTCACACCTGGCAAAGACCCTCCTCAAATTTTGGGAGCTGGGGGGGGGCCGGGGAGCGAAACTTAAGATCCCTCTCTCCCACAACTGAACTGGACAGACCGAAGGAGAGCCACAGAAGGGTCCCTAAGGCTACAAAGGGTAGGTAAGCAAAGGAAAGAGCTCTCCCTTTGGCCCGACGCCTGGGGAGCCCCTGAAGAGGGGGCTACGGGTCGGGGGAGGGGTCAGTATCCCACTAAGCTGATGTTTAGCAAGAGGAAGGATTGCCCGAAGAGGCTTCAGCGCAGGCAAGACACTGGTCCTGGGACAGGCACACTCACCGCGGCTCTGGGGCAGCGGCGTTACTTGGGGCCGGGGTTCGCACAGACTCCGCTCCTCTCCCCCCCGGCGGTGTCCCAGGCTCCGGCCTCCACTTCCGCCTTTCAGCCGCTCCGGATCCGGATCTCCAACTCCGCCCCGCCCCTCCTTACTCCCAGGTGACTGACGGGGCGGAGAGACCAATGGAAGGCACTCTTGGCCGACCCACAAGCGACGCCGGCGGGGGGCGCAGGAGAGGAGGTAGAGCACGCACGGGGGATGACGGGACTTGTAGTTTGCAGCCCTGGGAAAAGCAGGTGGCTGCCTGGCACTTGTACTTAGGGTGGAGCTGGCTGCGGGCTGGGCGGGGCCCGGCAAGGCCTGCTGACCGCGTCCCCACGGGAGGCTGGTGGCGGAGCACTGAGAGAGGGCAAAAGACTTTGTATACAGAATTGGGAAGGGAAAAATATGATGTGAATGAATATGCACATATGGCCGTGTGAACCAGTCCTGTACACTCGCTTATCCGGAGAAGCCTCTGTGTGCACTTTGCGACCAAGTCAGCTCTGAGATCCCGTCTGTTGGGGACATTCTGTAACGGGAGAGGCGGTGGAAACGCTGTAGGGAGTGCTCTCTGAAGGAAACCAGGTGAAATCAAAGGGAGAGCTTCTGCCTTAAGCCTTCCTACTTTGGCTCAGCTTCCAAACACACCAGGACCTTCCGCCACCCCCAAACGGAACTAACTCTTCTCTCATGCCAAGTACAGAGTCATACAACCTCTGCCTGGGCACTCTCCATCCATCAGTATAGATTAGAACCACTCCCTACACCACATGTGGGTCAGGACCATTTCTGTTTCCCCTCAATATTATCCCCCTCAACATGGATTAGGACCACTTTTTCTTCTGCCCACCTCCTACCTCCCGACACAGTCCAGTACCTCCTCTGCTTCTGCATTTCACTCCGCAGGGACACTACTCAAAACCTGTATGGAATCAAAGCCCACACAGAGACAACCGTGGCCATTGTGCCTACACCAGTGTGACCACCAGTGAACACCACTCATACCCTGAAACCTGAGCTGGAGAATTCCCGTCTGGGAGGACCTGCCACAAAGGTGTGTCTACATCTAGTTTTATCTGGTCACCAGTGTGCTTGCTTCTTATAACATCTATAACCTCCCCTCCCGAAGGCAGTGATTGTCAGAGAAGTGAAAGTTGAGAAAGAAGGGGGTGGGGGGTGGGAAGGCAGAATTTTTATTTAGGCACTGAGGATTGAACTCAGGGCCTCCTACTTGCTAGGCAAGCACTGTACCACTTGAGCCATGCCCCCAGTCCTTTTGCTCTTTAGTTTTATCTTTCACACAGAGTCTTGTGCATTTGCTCCTGCTGATCAGGAACCATTATCCTTCTGTCTCTGCCTCCTGAATAGCTAGAATTACTGGTGTGTGCCACCAAGCCCAACTTCCTAGCAGGTTCTTGACTGGTGACAAGCTTTTCTCCCACCCCTGTCATACCTAACCCTGGAACAGTAGTTCCTTATTCATAAGGGATAATTTGTCACCTGGGCCCACCTTTCCAAGGGGGGGTAAGCCTGACCCATAACTGTTTCTCCCTCACAGTGTGTGTATTTGTGGCTGTAACTGGATTGAGGGGAGGAGGGGGTATAACAGGGCCTTAGGGACTCATTAAGATTTCTCCTCTAGTAGCATGAATATGGTGCCGAGTGACTTGGCTGGCGCCTTTGCCCTTCCTAGAGACAGCAACAGGGCCCTGGGGTATAGTGAGGAGTGACTGCTGAATTGGCTTCTCCAAAGCCCTGGGGCTCTCAGATCAACCCCCCCAAAACAGTCAGAGGCAACAACTACAAAAATATAAGAGTTTATTTCCTATCCAAAAGTGAGCTCACGATGTTGGATGGGAAAGAGGGGCTGGAGACCAGCGTGGATTTTCAAGAAGTCTAGGCCTTAAGTGAGACCATGTTAGAAGTGGGAAGAAACAGCCTTGACTGAGGTTTGGGGATAGAAGCAGGATAGGGAGTAATGCTGCAAGTATTTTGAGTTGCTGGCAGCAGAAGAGACCACCATGAGTGACAGCCTGCAAGAAAGACACAAACAGAGATGTTGACATCTCTATTCTATGAGGGGTAGAAACAAACATTATTGTACCCCCAAAACACCCACTGGGCCCAGGAACTAGGAAGCCTACACTAAGACTGGAATTGTAAACACAAATACCCACAGAGACCAAAGAAAGAATACAAAGGAGAAAAACTAACTGGGTGTCAAGAGATGACCAAGAAACTTGGTGACCACAAAGAAGGAGGGACTGCAGATTCCATCTAAAAATGACAATTGCCACCCAACACCAGATGATTACTGACAATTGCCAGATGAATGTTGGTTCAGGGTGGTCAGACTATTTTTTTTTTCCTTTGGGAGTCCTGGGGTTTGAACTCAGGGCTTCACACTTGCTAGGCAGGTTCTCTACCACTTGAGCCACTCCACCAGCCCTTTTTTTGAGATGGTTTTTTTCAAGACAGGGTCTCATGAACTGTTTGCCTGGCTGGCTTTGAACTGTGATCCTCCTGATCTCTACCTCCTGAGTAGCTAGGATTACAGTGTGAGCCACTGGCATCTGGCTCAGAATTTTTTTTAAGGGAAGCCAAATACTGGATTTTTTATGTGACCTGTGTTGAATTTTAATACTGGCAACTAATTTTTAGTTGCCAGTATTTATTTTTTTTAAATGCTTTGAAAGCCAAAGAATATATGTCTGGGACCATCAGTTTGTCTCCCATGTGTGCTGTAGGATGATGCAGCTCCTTCAACCTGGGCTGATGGTAGGAGACCTAAGATGTCCTGGATTGCGCTAATGCTACCCAGAATCTCAAATCTACACCTCTGGAAGTAAAATCGTTCTCAGGGTTTTCAGTAGAGGACCCTGGAGCTGGGACCAAAACCCTCATAATGTCACTAAGTTATGTCCAGAATGGAATCCTGCAATCTATTCCTTCTGCAATAGATACCAAGATCCTGCCTTATCTCTACTCAGCCTTCATTTCCCAGGCTGGATCTGGGGCCCTTGCCCTTCTCCTTTGCTCCCCAATCTCTACCTGTCTCCAGGTCCTGGGGAGAAAGCAGAATATCTCATTTGCCCAGCTTAGTGGGCACCGCGGTCCATCTCATGCCTGCTGGATTCCACGGCCTCAGGTGGCTCTCCTCACAGAGGAAGAGGATGGGGGAAGGTTTGGAAAATGGTACAGGGTCAGAGGCCGCCATCTTTGTTAAAAAGTCCAGAGAATCCAGAGCCATCCAGACCAGCTGGTGGCTGCTGACCCTGAGGCAGAAGGCCAAAGGGCCCAGCTCCTCCCTGGATGATAAGCAGCAATGCCCACCCCAGACAGGCCTGGGCCCAGGGCCAGGGTCAGTGGAACGTGTCTGACTTGGACTGGAAGCTGTGCCTTATGAGGCTTGGGGTTGGGGATGAAGCCTCTGGCACTGGGGGGGGTTCCAGAGGGTCAGGTTCTGAGGGATAGGGAGTCGGCATGGATGGTCTCAGGTCCAGGGGAACAGCTCCCATTTCCATTGTCCCCATACTGGCTGAGCAGTGGACTTCAGCAAGTGTAGTATCCTGGAGGCCAGGTGGTGGTCTGGACACACAAGGAGAGATGCATGGTGGCCTCCGCTGGGAGCAAGGAGGGTTGGGGGGCCAAGCTGAGACTATCGGATGGCTTGGGGGACCCAGTCTGGTCTGTAGTAGGCCCATCACTTGCCGCAGCTCCTGGCTCAGCTGAGACACTTCCTGATTGAGACGGGAGATCTGTTGAAAACACATCAAATTGTCTCATAGGTCCCCCAACAATAACCCAGCACACCCCCCTCTACAGTTTACAAAGCTCTTCAAACACTGTGCTCATGGCCACCTGGGGAGAAGGCAGGGCAAGGGCACTGCCTAGAGGTAAATACCCTAGAACCTTTCCAAAAAGAATTTGAGGCAGCAACATTGCTATTCTGCCTCCCTCCCTTCTACAAGTTGTAGAAAAATGTTCTGAAAGAGGCCATACAGCTATGAAGTGATGGGTGCAGCCTTACTCGCACACAAGCTTACTTGTCTACATCAGTGGTTTGCATCGAATACAGAATCTACTGAGAAACTTGTTAAAATGCACATTTCTAGGTCCCCACCCCAGACATTGCAAATTGGGTGAGGCTCAGGAATCTTCAATTTAAAAGGTGATTCTGACAGGCACTCAAGTTTGGGAACCACTGGCCTAGAACTGAGGGCTGCCTGAGGCTGTGGGCAAAAGCAGGACTTGCCCTTAATCTTGCAGAACAGGGACTGGCCCGGCCCTGGCTTCTGGCCCCGCCCTAGCCCAGGTGCCACCCCTCTGGGGTATCCACTGTTTATCAGAACTGAGGGAAGGCGACTCCAGGGGCTGGGCCTGGTCGTTGTGTGGCTGAGTTCCCTTGGGGAGGAGGTAGAGGCAGTGTCTTGGTATATATATAGGATCTGGGATCTTCCTGCCCAGGATTCAGCCATCTGGGCCCAGGTCCCCCAGGTGTGAAGGTGTCTCAGCTTCCCTGTTTTCTGGTATACACACACACACACACACACACTCAGAGAATCCCATTGTGGAGTGCGGGGGTGGGGGGGGGTTGCTGCAGAGTCCTCTTTCCAGGCTATAAACCCTGAGCCAGTTTGAAGGGGGTGTTGACTGTTGCTGAGGACCTGCCCTATGCCAGAGACTGGACCAGGCAACTATGCACTCTCATCTCATTCTTCCAACTCTGAGAAGGACATATTATTTTTCTCATTTTTAGATAAGGAAACTAAAGTTCACAGTGGTTGTGGGGCTTGCCCAACTTCATCTAGCTAGTGTGACTCTTTGAACTCAGAACTCTTCTTCCAGAATCTGACATGTGCTTCTGCTAGATGCTTCTCTGATCCCAAGGTCACATTCTCCAGGGTTGGAGAGGAGTAGCCAGTCCCAACCCACCTCCTGGTTCAGCCTGCAGACCTTTTCCTTCACTTCCTCTGCCTCGGTGGCCAGTTCCCGGCTGGGCCTGGTTCCTGCAGGTAGAATGGGGTGAGGGTATGCAGCTGAGTTCATGGGTCATGAATACTTGAGCCTCCAGCTCAGGCCGGACTCTGTTGCTGGACAGGCAGGGAGCAAGAAAGAGAAGGCTCTGGGGTCAGAGAGGTGGGAAATCCAAGCTCCTTAGACTGGTTTTGAGGCCCTGTTACGTCTTCCTCCACATCTACCCCCCAGCTCCAGCATTGGGCACAGAGCTCCTCTTTGGCGTCTGTTCTGCATATCTTTATGCCTTTCAACAGCTCCACTGGTCAAAGTCCTACCCACCCTTTAAGAAGCAACTAGAGGCTGGGTGTGGTGGCTCATACCTGTAATCCCAGCTACTTGGGAGGCAGCTATGAGGAGGATTGTGGCTCAAGGCCAGCCCAGACAAAAAATTAGCAAGACCTTATTTCAACCAATAAAGCTAGGTATGGTAGAGCACATCTGTCATTCCAGCGGAATAGGATCACTGTCCAGGCTGGCCTGGGCAAAAATATGAGATTGTAGTGGAAAAATAACTAAAGCAAAAGGGACTTGGGGGCATGCTCAAGTGGTAGAGCACCTGCCGAGCAAGCACAAAGGCCCGAGTTCAAGCCCCAGTACCACCAAACTACGCAGGTGCCTCCTCTTCTCCAACTGCAGTCCTGGTATTTAGCTCACCATTCTAGAATTATTTATCTTTGTACACAGATGTCTTCTTTACTAGAAAGGGAACTCTTCAAGAGCATGTGCCAGAGCTGGTTAATCTGTGTGTTCCCAGCATGCACTTGACACATGGTAGTTCCCTACTGCATGTGGGATGGAAGGATGGATGGCTGAATGGATGGGTAAGCAACTGAGTTGAAGCCCACGGTTGGCCCTTACCTGTAGGGGGAAGCTGTGAACGGGGCCTTGGAGGCTCAGGCCTCTTGCTGAACCGGAATGTGGGGGCCTCAGCTGTGCTGCCAGAGTCCTCAATGCCATCCACTATCCTGGGGATGGGGCAGTGCTCATCAGCACCATAGGAAAGGCATATGGGCCAGAGCAGGCAGAGGGCAAATGGGGGCAGCAAAGCCAGGGAACTGGGGAAGCACGGTGGTCAAGGCTGGGTGGGGTTGCAAGCTGTGGTTGGAAAGGGAGGGTGGGCAAATGGGGCAGAGACAGGAAGGAGCACTGATTGAAATGCTAGAAATGGAGGCTAAAGAAGGTTCTAGAAGCCAGCAGTGATATGTGAAAGGCAGGGGAGGCTGGCGTCTCACCGGGGACTGAGGTCCGGAGATCCAAAGGTTCCCAGTGGGGGAATGAGTAGCTGGGGGGGCTTCCAGGCAGCAGAGCTCCTGGGGGGGCCATGAAGGGAGGGACTCTGGCCCCGGCCAGCCAGGGCAGGGGAAGGGGATGGGGACAGGGAAGGAGAGGAGACAAGGGCTGAGAATGGAGGCAGCTCCTCGCCCAAAAGGCTGACCAGGGAGCTCCGAGGCCTTGCTGGGCTGAGGTTGGGCAGCAAGAGGGGCCGGCGGGGCCTGGAACCACCCCCAGGCTCCATGCCACCTTCGACCTCTGTGATGGATGGCAGAGTCTTGTCTGAGGAGGAACCAAAACTATCTGAGCGAGGCTGTGGGTAGAGGGGGCAGCCAATGTTACAGGGAAGTCAACAACAGGACCCTTCACTAGGTAACAGTGCTGCTCCTCATCCCCTCTCCCTTCTCCCTGCAGCAGAGGAGCCAAGGAAAGGGGCCCCACTCCCAACCTCTCCCAAAGCAACCTCACCCGCACCCAGGAAGGGGGTGGTACCTGGGAGAGCCGAGGGGATCGAGAAGAAAAGCGGCTGAGACCCTGTGGAGATGGGGAGGGGCAGTGTTCCAGCTGCCTTCCACCTCCTCACTCCCTTGGTGCAGCCTCACCTAGTCCCACCCAACAGCATTAAGGGGTTGAGAGCATGAGTTCTTTTTATAGAATTAAGCCACCAACTACAACTCAGAGGAATACTGAGTAGCAAAACAAGAATGAAAAGTAACAAAAAACAAAGGCCTAGGGTATAAAGTACAGACCTGGCCCAGTCTAAAACAAAGTGGGCTCAAGAAACACAAGGACAGCAAGGGGAAGAGAAAATCCCAGGGGAGATGCTGGTCCAGAGACACCTGAAGAAGGAGCACGTGGTGTGTGTATGTATGTCTGTGTGTGTGTGTGGGGGGGGGGTTGTTCTCAAAGGGAGGATCCTCTGAAGGAGTCTGGAGTGCAGTGAGGGTTGCTCAACAATACAAGGATAGCACAGTCAGAGGTAGGTGGGAGCTGATGTTCTCAGAGTGGAGGGAGATGCAAGAAGCTGTCTAGGACTGGGGAGGTCTGCTTTGAAGGCGGGACCTTGGAGGAGGTGAGGCTATAGGGGGCAGTCTACATACATTGGTGTCAGAGCCCTGGCGCAGGTTGAAGGTGAGGTCCCGGGGCAGGCCAGACCGGAAGGCAGCCCCATACTCAGGATACAGCCGCAGGACCTCCGCCAGCCCTCGGCTGCTCAGCTGTTGCAGGCCACAGTAGGTCAGTGCTTTCACATCAGCGCTGGTCTTCAGAACACAGCTGGGGCCTGTGCCCACCCCAGGCTCCTGCCCCAGCTCAGGGATGTCTGCCCCAATCAGGTCCCCCTTCCCTGTGGATCAGAAATGGAGACTGTAAGCTGGGCCAAAGGGACCAATAGGCTATCAGTGGAAGGTGTCAGTGAATTTGAGGGATGATTAGTGTATTTGAAGAATGGTTGAAGGTGGGTCAATCAAGGGGCCTGGTAAGAGAATCAATGGAATTTAGAAAAAGCCAGTAGAGAATGACTGGGTGAGGCTGGAAGATGGTCAATGGGGGATATCAGTAGGGCTAGATTAATGATCAGTGGAATTGGATGATCAATGAAGAATGACCAAAAGAAGATGGATGTGGTGGTGCATGCCTGTAATCCCAGCTACTTGGGAGGCAGAGGCAGGAAGATATCGAATTTGAGGCCAGCCTGGGCAAAGGTAACAAGACCCTATCTCAAAAACAAAATAAAAACAAACAGGCTGGGATATAGTTTAAGTGGTAGAGAGCTTGTGTAGCATGCGTGAGGCCCTGGATTCAATCCCCAGTACCTTGGGGTGGCGGGGAGGCAGAGGGGTCAGTAAAGGTCAAAAGAGTTTAGAGTCATTGGGGAAGGGTCAATGAAGTTGGGAGATGATGCAATGGGAAAGGATCAGTTGCCTTGAGGGATGGTCATTGGTAAAGGATTGTCATTGGTAAAGGATTGATGAGTTAAAGGATGGCCCAGGGAACTAGGGGTAAGTTAAAGGGGAATGGCCAAAAGGGGATGGGAGAGGGGCAAAGGGACCAAGAAAGAGCACCCCTCAGCAGGCATTTCAAGTATCTACTAGTCCCATTCCATTCCCAAGACTCTGGCTATGCCCCTGGAGAAGGTTTCAGGATGGGTAGTGTGGTGATGGTACAGTCCTCACCCAAGATGGCCAGCACCATGTTGTCTCGGAGCACCTCAAGCGAGCCAGAGCAGACATAGTAGTGTGCTTGCAGGGCATCCCCCCGGCGCAACAGGAACTCTCCCGGGGCACAAAATGAGGTCTTGATGTGCAAGGAGAGGGCACGCAGGCAGCCCCTGCTTGCTGCTCCGAACAGCGGCAGCTGCAGGATCTCCCGATTCAGGTGCATAGCAATGTCAGCTCTCAGCTCATCTGGGAAGTCACGCAGTAACTGCATATAAGGGGCACAGGTCATTCTGGCCATCCCCCTGGAACTACTAGTTAAGTCTATAAATATGCTAAACTTTCTTCAAGGCAAGGGTTCCTTTGCTTTGAAGTCACCCATCCCAGACCTTCAGGAAGACTTGTGCGTTGAAATCTCAATTTTGCTTTCTCTGTCAACCTCCCAACCTAATTTCAGGACAGAGACCAGGTCTTCTCCCATTTGTCCACAGTACATGGACAATATACTGGTCACTCACACATGTTCTGGCCTCAAACCCATATAGCCAAGAGTCATCCCTGGTCGGTCAACCTTCAACTGGAGGCCAGGAGACTAGGACCTCCTAAATCCTGTAGGCTTTGGACAATCCATTTCCTAACTTTGGGCACCATATCCCTGCTGTAAAATGCAGTGTTATGGTACGTCTTGAATGTGATCAACAGCCTCCTAGGGACAAAGTTCATGTCCACATTTCCATCCTCATTATGGAGCCCCTTTGCCACTCTGGATTATTGACCTCTCCCTGTTGTCTCCCCTTGCCCTGTGAGGAACTCTCAGTTCTCCTCCCTCCTCTCTGGCTGCTCCTTCCTTGTTTCCTCCCTGCTCAGCCCATTCCCCTGACTCACTTCTCATTTTCCACACTCTCCCTGTACCGTGGCAACCAGACCCTGACTTTTGCACTACCTGTGAGCCCTGAGCCCTAACACTGGGATACACACCTGTATTTCCAACTATCTTCTGGGCAACTTCCACTGGGATCTTCCGTATTTCCACACCCTCCTCATGGGCCGACCCTGGACTCTCACCTTCATCCCTAAGCCCAGTGTTCCCACATGCTGCCACTTCACCCCTAGGCCCAAGCAGATACCTGGGAATCACTGTGATCTCCTCTCCTGCAGCCAGCTGGAGATCACCTGGTCTTGTAGAGCCTTCCCTCAGAAATACCTTCCCAATCTATTTCCTCATCAATTCCATGCCACTTCTCAGCCTGCAGGTCTGTCAGGACACAATCTAAATTCAAGGTCATCCGTGCTCTGGGCCTGCAGCCACCCAGCCCTGATTCTGCCACTCCCTCTCCCCTTCTCCCTCTACAGCATTTATACACCCCTTCCTCAAGGCTCACTCAACTACTTTCAGTTCCCTGAACTTACTCAGTCTGCTTTTACCAGCACTTCCGGACCCAGGTTCCTAGTGCTCTTTTTGCTTAAAATGGCCTTTCTATAGCAGGCTGATTTCCATCTTATCCTTCATGGTGTTCCCTCTTCTTTGCCACCTTTCTTATCTCCCCTGGGTCCAGACATAATGAAGACCCTATGGCACCAATACCCCTCCTGTATAGTAGGGGCTGAGAGTAACCATCTCCAAGCTCTCTGTGTCCATCACTAAGAGGTTACCTGGAGCAGGCACCTGAAACATGGTGTGACCAAATGGAGAACTGTATTACCTAATTTTTTTTTTTTTTTTTTTTTTTTTTTTGCAGTGCTAGGGTTTGAACTACACCTCGAGCCACTCCAGCAGCCCTTTTTGTGAAGGGTTTTTTCAAGATAGGGGTCTCACGAACTATTTGCCCAGGCTGGCTTTGGACCTCGATCCTCCTGATCTCTGCTTCTTGAGTAGCTAGGATTACAGGTGTGAGCCCCCAGCCACAGGCCTAATGTTCACAGGCACTCAGGCCTACCACACCTGCCCAGGGGGTGGGGGAGAAACTGAGGCCCAGAGAGGACAAGGTGCTCACCCATTTCCAGGACTACTGCCTTCAGCTTTCATGTTCAAGTACAAAGAAAAAGAGATTTGGATTTGGGTTTGTGTTTGCCTTTAAGAGAGCACCTCACCTCCCTGGGCCCTGTTTGCCTTCATTCCATACTTGGAGAGGCAGTGGTCCCGTCCCCACTGCGCTGCCAGGAGGCTGGCCTGCAGAAAGACCAGGAGCTGCACACTACCTCGTTGGCATCGATGCCACTGTTGACGGCCCATGTGGTCTGGAAGTACTCGAGCATGCGCTGCTTGAGTGGCCGGGGCAGGCGGTGCACGCGGATGAAGTCCTTAAGGTCTTTCATGCGGCTGTGGTAGAGCGAGCGGCGCGAGTACATGCGCTGGATGATGGCTGTCACGTTCCCGAACACCACGGCGTGCATCAGCGCTGCAGCAGTGGCAGCCAGCAGTGTATCAGGGGCTCAAGCCACCCATACCGCCACCTGCCTTAGCTCCCACACCCACCCTGCCCTGGATGGATGTTGGGAGTCCTGGGGAGGGTAGGAGAGTCAGAAGGTGGTGGTCTGACCCATGCTCCTCCCTGAGTGAGCACGTCAATAGGTCATGCACTTGGGTTTCCCATTCCCTGGTGAAAGAGGCTACTGCTCTTTGTGGGTACAGTTGTGGGCACTGAGGAAACGTCTGTGAATGAATGCAGGTCTGTCTGACCTTGGGTGGACATGTTTTGCTCTCTGGGCCTCAGTTTCCCCAAAGTGAATGCTGAACTTTGCAGGATTCTCCACCCCACCCTGGGCGTGGTGGGTCTGGCCTCACCGCCTATGAGCATGGTACAGATGGAGAAGATCTTCTCGGCGTCCGTGTTGGCACACACGTTGCCAAAGCCCACGCTGGTGAGGCTGCTGAGCGTGAAGTAGAGTGCAGCAATGTAGGCGCTGCGTCGCGATGGGCCGCCCGCTGAGCCATTGACGTAGGGCACCTCCAGTCTCTTGCCCAACTCATGCAGCCAGCCTGGGGGGACGGGTGGAGGAATGGAGGGAGCCCAGGCTGCACAAGAGGTGGAGAACCTTGAGTTTCCCTGAGCTGCTTGTGCTTGACCTTGGGCAAGCAAGTATTTACAGAGGCGAAGGGCAGTTTGCCAGGGTTGGCACAGGAAATGGATGGAGCAGCTTGTACCTCAGGGTCACTGAACTGGCTACAGTTGCAGCCCAAGGCTACTCACTCTACACCTCTAACTATAGAGGTCCCCTTCAACTGTCTAGTATGTTATTGTGCACCTCCTGTGTGCAGGGGATGGGATTTGACCCAGCTAGACACACTCCCTACCATGGTAGAACTTACAGTGTGGAGGGGAAAGAGAAATTAAATAAATCATTACAGGTGGGAGGCAAGTTACTGAAATATAGGGTGTGTTAAGAATCATGCTATGATTAGGGAAAGCCAACCCAGTTGGCAGTTGTGGGTGGGGTAGGCTCCTGAAGGGTTCCCTTAGGACAGCACATTTTAGTCGAGATCTCAAGGAACAGCAAAGCCACCTAGGTGAAGAAGAGAGAGGCAAGAGGGAGGGTTCCAGGGAGGAAAACATGTTCAAGGCCTAGAGTGAGAAAACAGTGCATGCTGGGTCCAGGAGGGAGGTCAGTGTGGCTCAGAGAAGAGAGCATAGAAAACATAGGTGCAGGAAGCAGGAAGAGGGACATAAGGAGTACATGGGTGGCCTTCATTTTGAAGGCAATGGGAGCTACTGAACTGAGAGTCCAGGAAGGGGTATGGGAGGTCAATATTGATTCTTGGGAGACCAATTTAGCTTCAGTGAGGAGGGTGGAGAAGAGAAGGGGAAAAGGGGATCAGTGGAGGCCACTGTAGAACCCAGATAACAGAGGTGGGTGAGATGGAACTGGGAAAGGGCAGAGGGAATGGAGAAGAGACCAGATCTGAGGAACACTGAGGGTGGTATTGATGTGGTGGGCCAGGTTCTGAGGTTAAGGAGAGGGAGGTGTCGTAGACAGTACCCAGAATCTGACCTGCCTTCCAGGGGGGACACTAAGGGAGCCTGGGGCTGTTTTGGCCACCTATCACTATTCCTGCTCCTCTGCTAAGCTGTATGTGAGGTGCCCTCAAAGGCAGAGCCCTTGCCTTCAAGCCAGGATTGGATGACTGGAGGGATGTGGGTTGGGGAGAGGTGAGTCCTGGTAGAAACATTAGCTTGGGATAGTAGGTAAACAGGTGGTAAGTGAAAATCTGGGGCTGGTGGCTCACCAATGTCCCAGAGCAGCGGGTCATTGGCCTCCATCTCCCGGCGCCCGATGACATACCAGACGCAGGCCATCCAGTGGGCAAGGAGCGCAAAGACGGACATAAGCAGCGTGAGCACCACAGCACTGCACTGCGAGTACCGCTCCAACTTCTGCAGCAGCCGCAGCAACCGCAGCAGCCGCACAGTCTTCAGCAGGTGCACCAGGGAGGTCTGCAGTGGGGCAGTGGGGGAGGTTGTCAGCAGGCACACCTCCTCAGAGCCCTGACATAGCCCTAGTCCCCTCCCAGAATCTTCCCACCAGAAGCTGGGGAGGCTGCAAAAAGAAAACCATCCCTGCAGTCCTGAGATAGTGGCCAGGAAATGTATATGGGAAAGAATAATAAAGCTAAGTTAGCCATGAAGGACTTTCTTTACGTGCCAGGCACTGCGCTAAGCATCTATAATCCTCACTTAAACGGGTAGGGAGCCTGGGGGCATGGCTTAATTGGTAGAGCACCTGCCTAGCAAGCTCAAGGCCCCGAGTTCAAACCCAAACTCCGCCAAATAATAGTAATAATGACAGTAATAATAATAATAAAACAACAAAACCCATGCTTTGGTCCAATTATCACTATCATTCCCTGTTTGCTGATGAATAAGCTAAAGCACTGAAAGTCTAGTGACTTGCTTAAGGTCCCAGACCAAGGAAATAATGGAGCTGTGACTCAAGTCTGGGCTGACTGACACCAAAGTCCATTTAGAGATACTCCGCCTCTTAGCACTGCAGGATGGTGCAGGGATTAGTCCTTGTCAGAGCAGTGGGGTGGAAGGGAATAGACAGAATGATCTTCTGAAGGCCCCTGCTCAGAGCTCTAGTGTCCAGGCCTCATCAAGTAGTGACAACTGACATGGAGAAGAATGGTGGAGTGGGAGTAGATAAGGGGGACTAGGACTAGGGAAGGTTAGGGACTCTTCCTCTTTGTGTATCAGCTACAGATGGGAAGGAGAGCAGGGACTGAGATCACATGGGCTGAGCTAGGGGTTGATGGAGCCAATGGTGCCCAGTACGGGTTCTGTAAATATTTGCTAATATGACCACAACTGCCTTTTTTTTGGCGGGGGGAGGGTGCTGGGAATTGAACCCAGAGCCTCACACATGCTAGGCAAGTGCTCTACCACTGAGTTACATTCCCAGCCCCGATATTGCTATTTTCATTGTGATGTGTGTGTGTGTGTGTGTGTGTGTGTGTGTGTGCGTGTGTGTGTGGTACTAGGGTTTGAACTCCAGGCCTCACAGTTGCAAGGCAGACACTCTACACTTGAACCACTCCACCAGCCCTGTTTTGTGTTGGATTATTTTCAAGATACTGTCTTGAGAGCTATTTCCCAGAGTACTGGCTTTGAACCCTGATCTTCCTGATCTCTGCCTCCTGAGTGGCTAGGATTATAGGTATGAGCCACAGCACCTGGTTCATTGGGATTATTAATACTTCACTTTGTCCTTCCAGTCTTGGAGATGGGGAGCAGGTGGGGGCAGTTTGACAGCTAGGGCGGTTGGAGGCTGTGGGGACTTGATGTTACGGCCCTCACTGCCTCACTGCCTGCTTAGGGGCCTCCAGGAGAGTCCCCCAGCTCTCTGTTCATAAAGCACCTCCTCAGTTTCTCTAATTTTAGGTAAAGGAGCTGGAAAGCCATGGTTCCCCTTCATGAACCTTTTCTCCAAGGCTTAACACTGGTCTCCAGCTTCCAGAACACCTGGCTCCAAACTTGAGTTCTTTGAAGTTTCCCTTAGTGACTTGCCCCTGGGACTCACACCATCTAGGATCCTCCTCTCATTCTCCTCGAACCAGAATGTCCCTGGTCTGGCTCCTCTGAGTTTGCAGCTATGTCAGTGCTTCTCTTCTCTTTCTATGCTCTCTCTGGCCCCCAACATCAACTCCTCATCTCCTCTAAATCATCCACTTGGGTACCCTAGTTACTGGTGAGGCAGGTAATATGTTGGCAAGAATACCAGACTAGGAGTCTGGAGACCTGGTTCTAATCTCCTGCCTGCCACTGTTGTGTGACCTTCAGCAAATGGTTTAACCTCTCTGAGCCTCTGCATCAAGCTCTTAAAAAAGAATAAGAGAATCCTCCCTGAAGGATTACTGTGAGATTCCCATGTGATGGTGTCTGTGAAAGTACAGTAGTGAACTGTGAAATGCTCCCAAAGGTACCAGATGAGGGGTGCTGCCTGAAGGACAGGTGGTTCTCTGCAGCTCTTCTTCTTCCCTAAAGACGGCTGTCTGCCAGACCAACACTGCCTGGTGAGTACAAAGGCATAGCTGCAGGTTTGGGAAGGATAGGGAGTCCCACTCAGAGTGACCAGAGCCTCAGGGCAGACTTACACACATGCACGTGTGTAGGAGCATGCACACACGTGTGCACAGCCAGGAGAAGAGGCCCACAGCCCGTTGGCGGCTAGTTAAATCCGGCTGCGTGTAGGTGGTTTCCTGCTATAGCTGAGTGCAGCAGGGAGAGCACACAGGGAAACTGCTCTCCACCTCCCCTCCCAGCAGCCAAGGGGGCCTGGGGACACAGGGTGGGACTGCCTCACCCTGGACTCTATCTGCCAGATGGCTCCATGATGACCACTCAGGGCATTTCCAGGTAATCCCAGGTAAGAACATAGGTCCCAACATTCCCTGCTCCTAAATCCACCCCACAGCCTTTACCACCCAGGCTTGAATTACCACGCTCCTTCCAATTCTTCTCTCCCCTCATCTTTTGCCAGCCAAATCCTACTCACCATTTAAGGTCTAGCTGTGTTCCCACCTCCTTCAGGAACACTTCCTTCCCAGACCATCCCAGCCTCTGCCCAACTAAGGGTGTTTCTGTGCCCAGGAGCTGGCCCAACTTCAGTTCATTTTTGCACATGCTATGTTCCAGCCTACATCTCCAAGGTCAGCCCAGCCCTTATGTGGCAATACCTGGCTCCATCTTTCTCTCCCATTCAGCACTTCTGTCTCTGCCGTCCTCTCCACTTTAGGGACTTGGAGCCTGGATCCTTGTCCCTTTTTCCTACTGTGACCATGCCCCACATTGTGCTTTGCAGACAGCTAAATGCTCATCAGTTGTTTGTTAAATAAAAATGTGAAAAGTACCACTCATCTGGCACCAGACCAATGCCGCCTTGGTAGCCATAGTTAGCTTTTCATTTGTCTCAGCTTCCTTCAAAAATTGTGAGCTGAGCTCTCTAAGAGCACACACCCTGTCAGATCCATCCCAGTACTTAAGACAGGGCTGTGCCCACAGCAGGTGGGCAGAAGGATATCATCTGGGCTTGGGGTTGGTCCAAGCTGTGATGAAGTTCAAAAGCTAGGGTGCATGGTGGGATGGGAGTCACTCACCACGGTGATGTTGAAGACATAAAGTAGGTCAAAGGGTAGAGCAGCAATAAGATCCACAAAGAACCAGGTGGCCAGATAGTGAAGGCCAATGGAACGAGGAGCAGAGATCACTTGACCAGACTGGGACACATAAGTGGTGCGGAAATTCAGGATGATATCTGAGGATACAAAAGGCTGTTACTATGAGGCCTTGGCCTGAAACTCAGACTAGGAGGCCAAGGAACTGGGCAAGCTGGGAGTGAGATTGGAGACCCAGAATGGAGGAAGCAGGAATGGAGAACAACTGGACTTCTGACTGGTCGCAGTCAGAAGAAGTCACAGGCTGAAGGTAGCAGGGGACACAGTACAAGGGCCAATGGGACTTAAAGATCCAGAAAGGGGCAGAAGGCATGGCTCAACTAGTAGAGTGCCTCCCTAGGAAGTGTGAAGCCCTGAGTTCAAGCCCCAGTACCACCACCAAAAAAAAAAAAAGACACAGAAAGGGATGGGTCTGGGTCCCGAAGACCCAGTTTGGCAGAGGAGGGGCCCACAGCCCACCCACCAGGGTCGATGGGGCAGAAGTCTGACCCAGGATGAAGAGCATCTCCACGGCAATGTCACTGACAAGGGTGTGTCGAGAAGTGATGGGGGTGTCATCATCACCCAAGAAGCAGACATTGTAGGGGACGGTGACTGCAACGTAGAAGGTGGCGAGGAGGATGAGGCCATCCCAGACAGCTTTGGGGACGCTGTAGTGGAGGAGGAGGCAGCGGGACCCCCCCACAGAGGCCACCTTGTACTCAGGCACCGATGGCTTTGGCTCAAACACGTTCTAAAAGGAGAGGGGTGGTGGTTGGGGACACTTGGGGAAAAGAGGAGGCAAGGCTAGGGGAAGGGAGAGGCAGGGGATGGGGAAAAGGGGAAGGTGGGCATTGCAAGGGTGGCCATAAGAGGAGATAGAAGGTATGGGAGAGGGGTTCAGAGGTTGGCACTTGACACTTCCTTGTCTTTGTCAAGCTACTGCCCAGGCCCCCTTTCAACCAGTAATGCTTTGGAGCGGTGGTGGTGGGGGCATTTTTAAGAGTTGTCCTTCACCCTACTTGAGAAGGAGATTATGACAAATCAGGTATATGCCCCAACTTGAAGGGTCATTAACTTCTCCCTCAAGTTCCTTCTAGGTTCTAGGGGCCTAGTGAGGAATGGGTATTCCCAGGGAAGGGAAGCTAGAATTACCCACCCTATTTCTGATAGCCTTAACAGACTACACAGAGGGCTGGAGACTCCATTCTCTGGTTTTGTTGGGATCCTTAGAGGTGTCACACAGAGTGAGATGCTAGGTCCTCAACAGGGACTCCCTAAAACCACAACAGCTTGTGATTTCATCCCTGTGATATAACCGTAGCACTCAAGGGTAGGTGATGTAATTAATTAGAGCCCCACCCCTGTGATATCACCAGAGCAATGTCAATCACCTATAGAAGAAAGAGAGATGGGGATGAAGGAGGTGGAGGGATATGGGAAATGGGTAGATGGAGGAACAAGCCAACAGAGGGAGAGCAGGCAGACAGGGAAACAGGGAGACAGTAGCAGGGAATTAAGGCTAGAGGACTTGGGAGATTCTGGACCAGGTCAGGACTCACATTATTGGTCTTCATGCTTCCCTGGCCCCGGCGAGCAAAGTGGCCAGTCAGTCGGCGTAGAGCAGTACGGCTCTGCCTCCTGGTAGATCGAAGTTTTGAGCTGGCTCCCCTCCTGCCAAGGGAGTTTTCTGTTGGGAAGAAGGGTGTAGATTTAAGTTGGGGCACATCCATGAAGTTGGGTGGGGAGACGTCTTGTGTGACCTGGAGCAAGGACTTCTGATTACTCATGCCTCCTGCCCAGACCTGTGCTTACCATGATTACTGTCCCCATGGACTCCTGGGGGGCCAAGTCCTGGGCCTCCACTCTGAGTGATGTCCTTGAAGGAAAAGAGGAACAGCACAACCTCCCCCATCTCATTCTTGATGGGCATCATGTCTAGAAGGCACCAAAAAGCTGAACCTGTGGGCATGGAGGAAGAGAGGGACAGAGAAGGGTGAGCACCCTTGTGCATGTCTTTCTCCTTGGTCCCCTTTGGTTGTTGGACATTGTCAAAGGCTTTGGCAAAGGTTTGGAGCTGAAAGGAACCACAAGTTTCAGCTGATTGCTTCATCTTCCAGATGGAGAAACTGAGGTCCAGAAAGGGTCAGAGATGAACTCATTCCCACGATCAGCTGTGGCAGAGTGGGAAAGAGCACCCAGGCTTCTACTGTGCCCAACAGACTCTGGGTAAGGCCTGGGGTCTGGGGTCTGGGTAGGGCTGCAGATCTGGTTGAGCCCCTCACCATCCTTGCGGTAGAAGCAGATCTCAACTCGGTGCTCCTGGTGGCCCTCCAGGGCTTTGTGCAGCCGCTGCAGGGCTGGCTCATTAGTCTCTGGGCCATAGAGGAAGCGGCAGCTGCAGGTTTTCTGCATGACCTCAGTGCGGCCGTAGCCTGTGAGTTCACAGAAGCCGTCAGAGCAGTAGACGATGGGAAAGCCTCGTGGGCCCTGAGCGTTAGCCAGAAGGAAGTTGCTGTCTGTAGGAGGGAGAGGTCACGGTCAGATCCAGGCCAGGGGGAGAGCTAACTTCCAGGTGGGTGGCACCACCTTCCAAGTTATGGTCAGAAGTCATACAGTCAGAAACTTTTGAAGGTTCTGTGTGGTTCCTGATCCCCCTTGGGATATTCAGAAATGAGGACAAGAGATAGAGCAAAGGGACAAGGACTCAAGAGTGGCCTAGAGAGACAGGGACTGCTGGAGGGTTGGAGAAGAAACCGCAGGAGGCCTTGTGGTTCATTCTCCTGCCTTCAAACTGGTGAGCTGTGACTGCAGAAGGCAACATAGCATGGTGAATGAGAGCACAGGCTCCAGCATTCTCCCCTGCCACTTACTGACTTTGACCTTGGACAAATTAATTACCTCTCCTGTGCCTCAGCTTCCTTTCTGCAAAGTGGGGCACAATGCCCTTCCTTGCATGATGATTGTGAGCTGCATCGGTTAACTTGGGGAGAACAAGTCCTGGCACTTCATAAATGCTACTCTGAGAAGGTAAAATGATTCCCCCACATTCTTTTAGCTTTGAAAGCTGAATCTATAGACACTATCCTGTCAGCCTGTTATAGTGATCAGGGCAAAGATTCTGATACCATCACACCCTTTTATTGTTAGGAAACCAAAAGGTAGAAATTTTCCAAACTCACAAATGTCTTTTGTGTGAGGGGAAGACAATGATGAGAAGTGTCCTCATTCCTGACTTCCAGGAAAGGTCCACTCTTTAGCATTCCTTTGGCTATTGTCAGGGGATCTGTCCCCAGGGCTCAACATCAAACTGAAGAGGGTATTGAAGTGGGAGCGCTAACAATTCCCAGCACCAGAACCTAGCTGGCTTCCGCCCTCTGATGGGTGGTAGCTCTGATGGATGGTAGACTGCGGGTCATCTGGGGACAGTCTCAGCTGAGGGATGGGTCCTGGGACCCTAGGAGAGGAGATTGTCAGGTGATGGGATGGCTGAGGACACTGAGGGTGCCTGGGAGGGACTGCGACCTGGGCACAGCCTACTTCTTCCATCCCAGGGCCGTTGCCTCGGTGATTGGCGCTATGGAAACAGGGGAGGTGTGAGGAGGAGGAGGGAGGGGGGAGGAAGGTAGGGCCCTGGCGGCTTGGTTTCGGCCCTCGGCTACCGCTCTCCCACCCTCCTGATCCCGGCCAGGATTCCCGAGAGGGTTAGGAGGAAAGCTCTCCAGGCTCCAGAGCAGGGAGAGGGAATGGCGGGAGAAGAGGCCAGGAAGGAGTGATGAGGCTGTCCAAGGTGCTGAACCTGGGACCCAAGCTTGGGTGGGTGAGCAGGGAGTTCCCTTCTTCTCAAGAACTGCCCCCACCTTCTGCTCACCCTCTTCAGACACAGATGTCTCGCGATTTGGGGACGCGTGACATTAATCCAAACAAGGTCCTGCAGAAGTCTTGATCTTTTCTCCTTTTTTTCTCGGGGAGGGGAGCTGGAGTCGTCTGGGAGTAGTCCCCAGAACGCCCAATCACTTTGTCCCACCTCCGTGTGTCAGATACCCGCATGCCTCCACACACGCCACCAGCACAGCTCTGCCCGGGAGTGGGTGGCTCCCAAGGCCCCTCCTCCGTTTTGCCGCACAAAGAATCTCTTCTGCCTGGAGTCACACCCCCTAACCTTCCCCTAACCCCCAAAGCTCTTGGTCCCCTTGCAGGGCGCCCCATGTCCTGTTTCTTTGCCGCGGCTTTGGGAGTTCCTACATCTCCAATTCCATTCTGTCTCCTCGAATCACCACATCCAGGAAACTCGACCCGGCCCTAGGGAGTCTTGGCTCCCAGCTTGAACCCCTAGCCCCAGCCTCCGCCCCACTCACGCGTGCCGTCAAACCGGGTGGCGATGGTGTCCAGGAAGGTGTTTTGCGGGGCCAGCAACCCCTTCATGACCGGCATGGCCCCGGGACGCGTGTTCGAGGCGCTGCGCCGGGGAGCGTTCAGCGCGGCCGGGCCGGTGGGGGCGCGCTGCCGGCGGGGCCGGGGCGCCCCATGCGCCCCCCTGCCTCCTCCCCTCCCTCTCGCCGCCGCTGCCTCTCTGCTCTGAACCCCGTAGCTCTGAGCTCCGCTTTGCGCCGCCTCTGTCACCCCCACCTCCCCACGGGTCAGGTTTTTCCCTGAGGGCTCGGCCCGCGCCCGCCACGTGGCCCCACACGGGGAGGGGCCGCCAGAGACACACGCACCGCTCTCCGCACCGCTCTCCTCCCAGAGGGGAGCGGCCCACGCGTGTCTCTCGGGGAGAGAATTGGAGACACGCCCACCGAGAGGGGAGGCTTGCGCTTGTGGGGTGGGGCTTAGGTGGCAGACACGCCCTTCTTCCAGAGTGGCCACGCCCCCACGCGTGGTTCCCGGGCTGGTCCTGTGGCTCCACCCCACGGGTTTCCCCGCGCAGCCCACGCTCGGGTTGGTGTCTGGTTCACAGTGCCGCCTGCTGGAGTTGGGATATTTCGCGACATTCCCAGCCCTCTGTGCTCCAATGTGAACAGCATGGTTAAGAGACTAGTTTTGTGGATGGGGAGTGGAAGATTTGAAACCTTGGACGCCCAATGCCTATTAAGCACCGATCACCTATCGAACTCTGCTTCTGAGCACAGAAGAGCAGAATGAAAAGAGCTTTGGAGTCCTCCAAGTAGAATCTCAGCTCTGGACACTGCATGACTTAGCCTTTCCCTAGCCTCACTTTCCTTATCTGTAAAATGGAGCTAACAATTCTCTCTTCACTTGGTTTTCGTGAGGATTTAATAGGTAATGCCTGTCGCTGGCACAAAGTAAGTGTCTTGGAGGGCAATTGCCTCCCTGTTTTCCCTCATCCTGCCTTCCCTCTGCTGCCCTTCAAGTGGAAGACAAGCTGGAAGCAAGTTTGGGATGGCAAGCAATAGTTTTTTTGTTTTTGTTGGGACTGGAGTTTGAACTCTGGGCTTACCATTTGCAAAGCAGGGGCTCTACCTCTTGAACCACACCTCCAGTCCATTTTTGCTCTGATTATTTTTTTGGAGATGGGGTCTCCCAAACTATTAGCCTGGGCTGGCCTCGAACTTCCATCCTCCTAATCTCAGCCTCCCAAGTAGCTAAAACTATAGGCATAAGCCACCAGCACCCAGTGGTATAGTTTTGAGGTGGCCAGAGTAATGGTTTGCAAATGTCCAAGGATGCACAGGTGAGTTTTGATCTCTATCTTCTTCAAGATGCAGGCACTGCAGTGGCTAGTACGATCCACATGAAACCAGACACAGGACTTTCTCACCACCTAAGCAGAAAAAGATTGATGCAGCTGAGTGCTATGGATGAGGCTGGCTGCTTTCTGGGACAAAACAGCTAAAGCCAGTAAGAGTGGGAACCTGGATGGGTGAGAGGGCAGGCTAAATGCTAAATCCCATACTTCTATCAACCTCACCTGCCAAGGTCTGACCTGGACATTGTCTGAGATGTTAGATTGCTAGAAAGTGCCATGTGTTTTTGTGTTTTTACTTCTGCATGTTACATCAGTTTCCTAGACTTGCCATAACAAAGTACCACAAAGTGGATGACTTAAATAACAGAAATACACTGTTTCATAGTTTTGGAGGCTAGAATTCCAGGTCAAGATCAAGATGAAGGCAGGGATGGTTTCCTCCAAAGGTTCCAAGGAATAATCTGTACCATTCCTCTCCTGTAGCTGCTGATGAGTTGCCAGTGTCTTTGGCATTCCTTGGCTTGTAGATGCATTGCTCCAATCTCTACTTTCATGTTCCCGTGGGCGCCCCTGGGATTTCTCCCTGGTAATTCTGTGTCTGAATTCCCCCTTTATATAAGAACACTGCCCATAGTGGATTAGAGGGCCAACCTACTCTGGTATGACCTCGTCTTAACTATGCAAGAAACATCTTACATCTGCAAAAAAACCCTATTTTCTTTTCTTTTTTTTCTTTCCTTCTCTCTGTTTTCTTTTCTTTTTTTTTTTTTTTGTGGTACTAGGGTTTGAACTCAGTGCCTCATGATGGCGAGGTAGGCACTCTACCACTTGAGCCACTCCACCAGCCCTTTTTTCGTATTGAGTGTTTTTGAGAAATGGATCTCACTTTTTGCATGGACTGGCCTTGAACTGTGATCCTCCTGATCTCTGTCTCCAGAGAAGCTAGGACTTTAGGCATGAGTCACCAATGCCTAACTAGGAAGCCCCTTATTATTTCTTCTTCTTCTTCTTCTTGCACTATTGGGATTTGAACTCAGGGCCTACACCTTGAACCACTCCACCAGCCCTTTTTTGTGGTGGATTGTTTTGAGATAGTGTCTCTAGAACTATTTGTCCAGGCTGGCTTCAAACCGGGATCCTCCGGCGCCCAGCAAGAAGCCTCATTTCTAAAGAAGGTTACATTCTGAATGATGGGGGTTATGACTTCAAACACATGAATTTTTCCGGAACACCATTCAACTTGTAACGTTGTCTGACTAGAGTTGCAGAAAAATCTTGCCCTACCTCTGCTTAAGAATTTCCCTTAATTACTACTGCTACAGAATAAAGGGCGAAGACTGATGAAATGTGAGGAACTTCTCAATCCGGGCTGCATGAACTCAACCACCACACTACAGCCACGCTGGAAGATACATGGTTGAAGCTGAGGCGAGGCATATGAGCTTCAACCATCCTTTGCTGGATTCCGTTCCCCTATGCAGCCCTTCTTGCTCTTCCTCCATTCCCGGATCCTCCCCACCCGCACCCCATCAACGCTCCATTACAAAATGACTAGCAGAGTAGCGTGGGGAGCGACTGTCCCGCATCCTCTCCCCCAAACAAGCACTCGCGCAGTTCTCCCTGCACCCCTGGGCTTTGCACGGTTCCTTGCACTGGAAGCTCTCCCGCACAAGCTGGCTTCCAGGCTCTAGCGTCTTAGATGCTCTCCTGCCTCACACAGGAACAACGACCAGCCACACGAACAGAGATTCGTCTTTATTGCCGTTTTTCTAGGGATTCACGCTGGCGAGTAGAGGGGAAAAGGATGGGACCAGCACAGAGACGGAAGAAATGCTCAGACTCCGGACCTTGCTCCGGGCGCGACGACTACGGCGGCCGCGGTGGGACAACGGCGCCCGGGGCAGGGCCGCGGCCCCGGCTCTGCGCCTGCGCGGCGGCCCATGGTCAGGATGCCCGCCGCGTGGTTGCCGCTGGCCTGCAGGAGGCGCTGGAGCCGGCCCTGGAGGCCCGGGGGCCCTGGCCGCCGCTTGCCCAGCGTGAGGATGCCGGCTGCATGGTTGCCGGCGCCGTGCAGCAGCTCGTACAGGCGGCAGGAGCACGTCTTCTGGCGACAGCAGTCGGGCAGAGGCTGTGCGGCAGCCCCAGGTGACAGCAGGGCAGGTGGCAGCAGCAGCAGCAGTAGTAGCGTCACAGCGGCCCAGGAGACCTAGGGAAGCAGAGACAGGTCGCTGGAGGTCGTCCCTCCTAGCCTGCTACCAACCTCCATTCCCAGTCCCTATTCAGCTGGCTCCGTGCCCGGTCCTGGTCTGCGCTGTCACCTATTTTTCCTGCGTTTTCGCCCTTGGTCATGTCTGGTTCCTATGTCAGCTAGCTCATCCTTCAAGACCCAGCAGAGCATCTCCTCCAGGAAGCCCTTGGAGACTTCCTAGGCAGAATAAATCCCTCTTGCCTCTGTATACCTTTGTCCATCGTGCCCATTTCAAAGGTTTACCACTACACCTGGAAACAGGCATATATGAGTCTGTTTGTACATTTAGTGTCATCCCCACCCTCCCCCCACCACACACCACGTGGAAATCGGGAATGGCAGAACTCCAAGCTGTTGTCTCCTCTGCTTTTGCCCTTGCAGAGGCGAAATTGGGCACCATGGTTTTAGATCAGTTCCCCACCCTCTGGGGACAAAGCTTCCTCACCTGTAAACGGAGTATTAAATAATTCCTACTATGCAGGGCTGCTGGGGGAATGACATGAGATGACAGGTGCAAACAGCACCTGATAGACACATAGTGGACAATAAATATGAGCACTTAGGAAAACAGGGCACAATCTGGTGTTAGCCAAGGAAGATTTTCTACCAACATCCACCCAGTCTCCCACCTCAGAGCCCACATAGGAAAAGACCAAGAGCAGAGACACCTCTGGCCTTTCCTCCAGCCCCCTGAGCACGTACTCCAGAGACCACCCTAGTATAATGAATCATCTTTCATCCCTGGGCATTTACCTTTGTGGAAGGAAGGTTCATGGCGTCTAGAACTCAGGGTGGGTTAGCCTGAAGGTCTGTAGTGCAGTGGTCCAAACAGCGAGGAGCCTTGAGGCCAGCGACTGTAACCTGCTACCAGGGACCTGGGGTTTATAGTGAGCTGAGGTGGTGGGGAAGAGATGAGTACTTGCGTCCATTCTTGAGCCAGACAAAGGAATGTCTAAGATTAGCGTCCCACAGTGGGACCGTCTCCAGGTTGGGCCCAAGGAATGGCCGCTGAGGTGTTCAGAGGCCTAAATTGGATTCAGCTATGACCCTGGTCCCCCCTTTGTCTGTCTGCCTGCTCCCTGGAGATGGGGCGGTCTCCCGGCACTAATGAGGCCACCTTACATCCAGGAATCTGAGTGCACAAAAGAGGCCTTGGCTGGGGAGCTGGCCTGGGACAATAGGGGAGGGGAAGATACTAATTAGGGCAAAAAAGGCAGTGCGAGATATGCTGTCCACAGTGCGTTGGGGGGAGGGCAGTCACATAGTAGCAGCCCCCATCCCCCTTCCTCATCACTGCTCCTGGGGTCTGTCAGGTTCTAGAGCCTTCTCCTCAGAAACAGTTCCTCAGCTGCCCTCCTCTCTCCCCAGCTCTCCTTCCCTTCTGCCCCTTCCAACAACCTCCATGACAGAAAACCTTGGAGACCCACTGTGGGCAGTGGGAGAAAAGGCAGTCAAGCCTGGCTTCTGCTGGAAGCTGATAGAAAGTGTCTCCTCCCCAGCTGTCTCCTGGGCCAGGCTGCCTGGAGGGAAGGCATGTACCCCCCCCTCCCCCGCTCCAGGCTGACCTTGTGTTCAAAGCACTGTTACGGAGCTCCTGGGCCAGCCCCACATGAGCTCAGGAGCAATGGTGTGCCTAGGCCGTAGCCCTGTTTTCAAGGAACACGTGCGTCTGGGTAGGATGCCATGTGGCATAAGGAGAGCTCAGGAGACAGCAGGATTACTCAGACATCAACAAAAATCAGTCACTTCTGGCAGGGTAGGATAGGGAACCTTTGAAGGCTTTGTTTGAAAAGTAGTCAGGTAGATTGGGGGAGAAGGTATACCACAGAAGGGACAACATGAGCAAAGGCCTGGAGGTGACAGTGGGATGGGGTCCTCATAGTCTTCTATGGAGCAAGGGGGCCCTGCTTCATGAGGGCCAGGCTTTTCAAAGGGCCTTATGAGCCAAGCTGATGGGTCTTCCGTGGGCAGTGGGAAGCCCACTGGATGGAACAGGAGAGTTACAGGCTGACGTGGCACTGGTTGGGTAGGAGGGAGAGGCCCATAGGTGGGGATATGGGAAGGACTGAGAAGCAATTCACAGGCAGAATCCAAAGCTGGACAACAGATCCAGAATGGCTGTGTATTTAGGAAGAGCTGCAGGATCTTGGGCAAGCCTTGTAGCCGGGAGGCTCAGTTTCTCTATTGCTTTGGACACAACCCAGGTGGCTCTGGATTTCTTTTCTTTTCTTTTTTCTTTTTTTTTTTTTTGGCAGTACTAGCGTTTGAACTCAGGGCCTGCACCTTGAGCTACTCAGCCAAACCTTTTTTGTGATTTTTTTTTTTAAAGATTGGGTCTCATGAACAATTTGCCCTGGCTGGCTTCAAACCGCGATTCTCCTGATCTCTGCCTCCTGAGGCTAGTATTACAGGCATGAGCCCTTGGTGCCCAGCTCCTATGATACTTTGTGATTTGAAGTACTCCCCCTCACTCACCAGGTGAGTTCATGGCTCAGTGCTAAGGCTGGCCAGGGAAGCTGGGAATGGCTTCTCCAACTTTGGCCTACACTGGGATGGGGGAGGCAGGAGGAGGCTCTGTGTCTCTGTGGTGGGACTCCCCAATTTCCTGCATGTACACATACCTAACCCAGCCCAGCTGGAGAGCAGGAGGAGAACCCTGGGACTTGGAACAGAAAGGAGAATGGCCAGTGGGGAGGAGAGCCCAGGCTGCAGCAGACTGGCAGTGTAAATGCAACCCCACATAATTTCCCCAAAACAGACCCAGGTGAAGAACTGGGTACAAGAGGTCTTTTTTGGGAACTGGTCCAGTAAGCACAATGAGGGAGTGGGCAAAGGAGGGGCGGGAAGAAAAACCATAGGAAAAACACCAGTGAGTGACTTGGGTGACTGGGCACCATCTTACTGGGGACCCTAAAGAGATCATATAGGAAAAAAAAAAAAAGTGATTATACAGAACACACTTCAGACTTGTCCACTTAGAGAAAATGATGCAGGGGCCTTTATTGTACTGACTGAGAGTCACTCCAGAGGTCATTAATCCCCATTACTTTCAGCACACCCAGTTCACTGTCAAGCAGACACGACTATGGCCAGAGAACACCGTCAGACTGAAAGACACAGGAAACCATCAGTGTGTATGGGAGCTCTCCAGCCATGTCCTCTAAGGTAAGCCCAGGGGGATATGGGCAGAGGACTGCTTAGGTCTGCAACACCTCTGAAGCCTACACCTCAGAACTGGCCTACTAGGCCAAGTTCTCTCCCATCAAATTCAGTAGTTCTAGTGGACCAATGTCAAGTGAAGGCCCCAGACCAAGAACTCTCCATCCAGAGGGGCCCCAGAGCAAAGAGTAAGGTGGGAGCTGGGCAGTTGGTGCCACTGCATTGGCTCAGGACACCACTCTTCTCTGCAGGAGCTGAGCCAGGTGCCTGTGCCTAAGGACCCGGGGCATTGTGGGAGGGAAAGAGGATGAAGGGCAGGCAGTCAAGGCTTCCCGGAGTGCTCGGAAGGCTCCCAGCCCCACCAGGTGGACTCTGGCAGGACCCACACTGCCCCGGAACCGCAGGGACTTGTAGTGAGCAGAGGCTTCCTGAAGGCAGTGGTCAAGCTGGGAACAGAATGGCCAGAGTGAGGCTGGTGTGTGGCTGTGTGTGCATGAGGTGTGTATGTCTGTGTCCAGGGTACATGCATTTAGGAGACTTGTGTGTGCAAGTTGAGTTTGTGAGACCCATCCCTCACAGCTCAGAGCCCCAGAACAGGGTTTCTCCTCCCTGGCCCCCTCTCCCCACCACTCCCCTGACCCCTGACTCCATGGCACCCTGGGGGCATGAAGAGTGGAGATGGCTGTCAGACCCTGGCACTCAAATCCTGGCTCTTTTACCTTGTCTCGATTTTCCTCTGACAGATTCCGCAGCCCCCTCAGTTCCACAAACACTTCATAGTGTGGAGCAGAGCCCTCAGAGGAGTCTGTGGACAAAGCCACATTTCCTGAGAACAGGGTGGCTTCCAGAACCAACGCCCTCTGCCCCATCTCTTCTTCCCCATTCTGAGGTTCATGGTGGTAGGGAGGAGTTTCTTGGTGGGGAGGAGTTTCTTGGTGGGGAGTCGGGCAAGTGGAGGGGACTCTAGAGCCTAATCCTAAATATGAGACAGGCCTGGAGAGAAAGTGGTTACAAACTGCAGAAAGAAAGATGAGAGGTAGATACAGAGAGGGATTTTTGTTAGAAACAGCAGGAGAGATTGTGTCTTATCTCTTTCCTTAGAAGTCTCTCCTAAGAGAGGTTCTTAGGTTGGGGGATAGCCAACCTAAGAACTGGAGGCAGGAGTCAGAGACACTTAACCCAGAATGCTGCTCTCCACACAGCCATGGTCCAACAGCTTGGCCCCAGGCCACTGCCCCACTGCCTGAGCCAGGGCCTCAGAGAATACATTCTCACCAGTAACTTCTCCTCGCACACTCAGGGCCTGGTCCAGCCTTGAGGGGAGGAAGGAGGAGGCAGTGGAGCCCAGAACACAATGACAACCCCTTAGCACCCCTGGGGGTTACTTACCTGTACATGAACCTGACAACTGGACACTTATTATAGGCACCGACCACCTGCACCACATCACCCAGGCAGCACCTGAAGGGATGGATTGGGAGAGAGGGTGAGCTATGTCCCTGTTCCCTGGCAGGGCATCAAAGGACCTGAGGTAGCAGAGGCTAGGCAGGAGGTCACCTGGTAAGGCTAATGTGGTCAGTCAGCACCAGCTCGTACTCCTTCCCCTTTTGGGCTTCAGCCAGGAGGGTGGGGGCTGCCTCCTCTTGGGCTCCTTCCTTGACTGGCAGCAGCTCAATAAAGGGGGCTCCCGGGAGCAGAAGGTAGAGTCCCTGGGGCTGCTCTGGCCATAGGTTTAGGCCCATCACCCCTGTGAGGAGCAAAGCAGCCTCCTTGTTGTGGGGTGGTACATTGCTTTGTGCCAGGCAACAGCAGATAGCAATGCCTTACCCTGAACCCCAGGCCCTACTCTTTGGAGCATCTGATCCTTTTGCTTCCCTTCTATTTCCATCCTTGTAGGCCCAGTATGCTCCCTCCCAGACCCTAACTGGAAAAGGGCAGACACAAGACCATGGTTCCGGAGATAGCAAAGCTGCAGTTTGTGCAAGATTCTGCCCCTCTGTGATCCTGAGTGTGTTTGTCTGTGAGGCAGAGCTGCTAATCCCCATCATACAGGGCGCTGGGGAAGATTAAAGAGGAATATGTAGGGCTTGGTTCATGGCAGCTAGGAGTGTGACCTCTACCCTTGCCCCCACCTCACTGTCCCTGTGTCCAGCTGACCTCCAGAGGCAGAATAAGCAGGAGAGAAGAAGGCTAGCCCTTGGCACCACAAGGCTCCAAGGGCAGCCACAGCCTCAGCCTGGCCTCCTGCATCCAGAGTCACCACCACTTGCAGCTTTGGCCAGAGCCGAAGGGCCAGTCCTCGGGAACCCTGATTTAGGGCATCCCGAAGTTCAGCTGCACGTCTAGGGAGAGGCGCTCCAGGGTTCCCTACAGCAATTGCCGCAGCCAGCTCTTCACCCCTGGACTCCAGGTCCAAGAAGACGTCCAGGAGGTCAACTGCTGTCCCGGCCTCCAGTCCCCTCAGCTCTGGAGACCTCAATGCTTCCAGCAGAAGGGTCTCAGAGTCCTTGGCCCCCGTGGGGCTTGCCCAGCCCAGGGCACGCCAGGGCCAGGGGAGGGGGCTGGGCCACGGGGATGTTGGGGTCACACGGGCAGTGCCTCCTGGAGCCAGCACTTCTGGGTAGGCCTTGTTTAGGGCTACCAGACCCAGTAGGGTGGCCTGTAGGGGGACCAGAAAGACTGTTAGTTTGACCTCAGAGCTAGACCCCAAATCACAAGTTTGAGTACCCTGATGGGAGAGTTTGGCTACAAGTAGGGGTCTTAGTGGGACTGGGCTCTGGCCATCCCCTTTTACCTGCAGAGAGGTCTCCCCATGGTACTGGTTTGAGGTAGGAGGTGGGAGATGCCCCTCACTTTCTTTCTCCTGAGCTTGGCTGGCCTTGGTCAGTGGGAGATGATTCCGGAAGGTGCTCATGTCTATAGCCCCAAAGACACCAGAAACTCCTCAGGAAAGCTGTTTCCCAAGAGTTTCAAGCAAGACTGGTGAGACTCCTGAGAAAGGAAGGAACCCAGAGCAGGCCTGGGGAGTGAGGGGCAGGAAAAGGCCCAGGACAGGAAAAAAATCCATCCTGGGCCCCAGTAGGTCTCTGCGCCAGGCGCCGCGCCACAATGGGTGGTGGTGGCGGGTGTTCAGATTCTGGAATCTGTCTATCCTGTGGGATTGCTTTCTCTTTGGGTCACTTCCCCAGACTCTGGAAAACACACCTGTGCTCCCCCTGATGGGACAGCGGAGTCCCTGGGCTCCCTGCAGACACCATGTCAGGGCCTGCTGCTGGCTTTGACCCACATGCAGCGTGCTGTGTTCTAATCTCCGCCGTTGCCAGGCAGCTGCCCAGGCCAGGACTCTCCATGCCACACGGTGCTGAAGGCTGGCAAGCCAGGACAGCCTGGCTTTGTGAGATGTCTGCTTCCCGATCATGGTCAACATGGGCAGCAGGAAGAGCAGGAGCAACAGCAGGAGCCACAGCAGCCACAGCAGCATCTCCAAGCAGCTCCTGGGAAGAGAAAGAACCCACTTATGGGGGTGCTGAGGCGATAGCCCTTTCTTCCTCCACACTCTATTACACACAGGAAAACCAATTAAAGGACCCTGCTGGGCATGTGTTGTGGAGGAGAACATCCAGGCTCCGGAGTGCCACTGACCTGAGTTCAGATCCTGCCTCTGCCGCTTTCTAGCTGTGTGGCTGTGGGTGACCCACGCTGCACTGAGCTTGCCTCCTTATCTGTACAATGGGAAGAATAACAGCTCCCTCAGAAGGCATAGAGAGGGCTAGGCACCGGGCCTGCACATAACAACGGCTGCTTAACAAATGACATCTTTCGTCCACTCCCGAGTGGCTTTGCTGTTTCTCAGGATCCTCCCTGTCCCAGCTCCGAGTCCCTCTCGAGCCCTGGGCAGTGGGTCCATGCTGGCATGCACCTGTCACAGCCCACTTCCGCCTACTCCCAGCTCCCGGGACCCCTCAGTTCCTCAGTGTCATACACATCCGCCAGAGAGAAGAGCGATGGCTTTAAAGGGCTGGGCTTGGATAGGGAAGTCCCGAGAGTGGGGAGGGGCTGGGAGGGGGTGCTCTTAAAGGGACAAGTCACCTAAAGGATGACAAGTTGAATTGACTCAGGCCGGCAGATGAGGGAGTTAGGGCCAGAGAAGCGTGATCCTCCAACTTGTGCGGGTGAAGGAAGAGGGAGCTGAGTGTGGAGAAGAGTAGCATTAAGTAGCTGGAACTCCACCCTGGAGCAGGTTCAAGCTTGAGAACTGCTAAAAACCAAATAGTCTCCCACTCCAGAAATCCTCTCCTTCAAGAAAGGAAACAAATTTGGCCCAGTGTAGTGCATGACTATAATCCCAGCTACTCCGGAGTGGAGATTGGGAGGATTGGGGTTCACGTCCAGTCCAGGCAAAAAGTTAGCAGGGTCCCATATCAATAAGCTGGGTGTGGTGCCACGTGCCTGGCATCCCAGGTATGTAGGAGGCATAGGTAGGAGGACTGCAATCCAAGGCTGGCACCAGGCAAAACCATGACACCCTATCTGACAAAAAAAAAAAAAAAAGGGCTAGAGCCTATAGAGCACCTGCCAAGCTGAAAACCCTGAGTTCAACCCCTCAGCTCTGCCAAAAAAAAAAAAGTGGCTCACGCCTGTAATCCTAGCTACTCAGGAGGCAGAAATTAAGAGGACTGGGGTTTGAAGCCAGCCCAGGCAAATAGTTCAGGAGACCCTATCTTGAAAAAAACCTATACAAAAAAAGGACTGGTGGAGTGGCTCAAAGTGTAGGCTCTGAGTTCAAATCCCAGTACTGCAAAAAAAAAACCCTTTTATTATTGAATTAAACAGAATGACAGAATGTGATGTGTATCACAGGCAATCTGTTAAGAATTTACAGAGGGAACTCACCCTTTTATACAGACAAGCAGATGAACTCTTTTACATAGGCTTCCAAGATAAATAATAACTCCTTCTTAAGTAAGACGACTTGACAGCAGTGTTTGTCATGTATAGTTCGTCCAAACTTTACCTGGTAACTGGCATGAGTTTATTGGCTTTATTTCAAGGGAAAACAAACGTCTTAGATCTTTATGGCAGAGGTAATTTTGCAACTTGGAGCAAGGAATTTACAGAAGGTAGGCTCCCACCCTCTCGCCGGCAAGTTGAAAAAGCTATGCTCTAGATTGTCCTGTGGTCCATGTTCAGCCCTCCCTCCACCTGTGCCCTGATTTAGCCCTCAAAACACTAATCCCTGCGTCAGCACTTCCCTCCAGGTCTTTCTGAGAATCTTGTTTGTCTTCCAAGCTGAACCTCTTTAACTGAGCTACTCTTATTCTTTGGCTACCATCTCTCTCTCTCCTCTCTCTCTCTCTTTCTTCTCGTCAAGATCTTGCATTGGGTTTTCTTTTCCTTCTTTCTTCTTCTTTTTTTGGTGGCCCTGGGGTTTGAACTCAGGGCTCCGTGGTACTGCTTGAGCCACACCTTTAGTCCATTTTGCTCTGGTCATTTCGGAGATGGGGTCTTGAAAACTGTTTTTCTGGGCTGGCCTCAAACCTTGATTCTCCCGATCTCAGGCTCCCAAGGATTACAGGCATGAGCCACTGGCACCTGGCTTCATTTTTCTTGTGTAGATGTCTATGTTAGTCCATTTTTTTTAAATCTCCATGACAAATACCTGAGAGAAGAAAATTATGGGGGAAAGTTCTCTTTTTTTCCATTTTTAATTTCATTATTTTAGATAGGGTCTTGTATTTTTTTACCCAGGGCTGGCTTCAGACTGTGATCCTCCTACCTACAGTCTCCTGCATAGCTGGGACCACAGATGTGTACCACTATGCCTGGGGTCTCACTAACTTTTTGCCCAGGCTGGCCTTGAACTATGATCCCAAATAGTTGGTATTACAGGCCTGAGCCATGGCACCCAGCTGGAAATGTTTATTTTGACTCGTGGTCTCAGAGGTTTCAGTCCATGGTTGGCTGGCTCTGATGCTATGAGCCTTAGGTGAACAAGACAGAGCAAAACTGTTCACTTTATGGCAGAGACACGGCCAGGGACAAGCTGTGCCCCTCAGAGCATGCCCAGTGATTTCCTCCAACCAGGCCCCATTTCCAGAAGTTTCCACCAATAATGCCATCAAATTATCAATCCATCAAGAAGTTAATCCACGAAGTCAGAACCCTCACGATCCAATCATGTCCCACAAGCCACACCTCTGACCATGCTGTGTATGGGACGAGGTCTCTAACACATGAGGGTTCTGATTTCTCTACATGCTTGCCAGCACTGGCTATTATCTGCCTTCTTTTCTTTTTTCTTCCTTTTTTTTTGTTTGGCAGCACACTGGGATTTGAATTCAGAGCCTCGTGCTTGCTAGGCAGGTGCGCTTACTGCTTGAGCCACAAAATTCTTACATTCATTTTTCTCCCTTCCCTCCCTTCCTCCTTCCCTCCGTCCCTTCCTTCCTTCTTTCCTTCCTTCCTTCCTTCCCCCCTTCCTTCCTTATTTCTCTCTTTCTTCTTTTTGAGACAGGGGTTAGGCTGACCTGAACTCTCAGTCCTCCTGCTTCAGCCTCCTGAGTGCTGGGTGTGTACTACCATGCACATTCCTGACTTTTTGATTATAACCATTGATTAATGGGTAAGAAGTGGCATCTCATTATAGTTTTAGCTTGCATTTCACTGACTATTGCTATCATACTTTTATGTGTTTGCTAGTCATTTGTATATCTTTAGAGAAATGTCTAGTCATATAATTTACTCACTTTTAAACTGGGTTATTTGAGCTGGTGCTGGTGGCTCATGCCTGTAATACTAGCTACTTGGGGAACTGAGATTGGGAGGATAGAGGTTCTAGGCCAGCCCAGGAAAAAAGTTTATGAAACCCTACCTCAATAGGCATAGTGGTGTGTACCTGTCATACTGGCAATGTCAGAGACCCCATCTCCAAAATAACCACAGCAAAAAGGTCTAGGTTCAATGGTAGAGCACCTGCCTAGCAAATCCAAAGCCCTGAGTTCAACCCAAAAAAAGATTGGGTTGTCTTATTATTAAGTGGAAAGGTTTCTCTATGTATCTACGTAAAGGTTTTCTAACATGTATATGACTTGCAAAAAATTTCTTCCATTCTGCGGGTTGTCTTTAATTTCCTGGATAGTGTCCTTTGAAGCACAAAGCTTTTAATATCAATGAAGCTGATGGTTCTCCCCTAGGAGCAGGAACAGCACTCTTACCACTTCTATTTCTTTTTATTTTTGGTGCACTGGGGTTTGAACTCAGAGCCTCACCTTGCTAGGCAGGTGCTCTTACCGCCTGAGTTGACTCCAGCAGCCCACACCACTTCTGTTCTTTTTTCTTGTCTTGTTCCTGATCCTGAGGGACAAGCTTCCAATTTTCCACCATCATGGGTGATGTTAGTTGTGGAGATTTTTTTTTTTTTTTTGTATCTGTTGAAATGATCATGGTTTTTTTCTCCTTCCTTCCTTTTCTCCCTTCCTTTCTCCCTCCCTCCCTCCCTCCTTCCTTCCTTCCTCTTTGAAGACAGGGTCTCCCTATGTAGCTGGTCTGGAACTCCTGTCTTACAGTGCTGGGATTACAGGTGTGTGTCTCTCCCCATGCTTTATTCTGTCAATATGGTATGTTACATTAATAGATTTTCATATGTAAAGCCAACCCTGTCATACTGGGATAAATCTGACTTTGTCATGGTGCATAGTTCTTTTTGTACGTTGATAAATTCAGTTTGTTACTATTTGTTGAGGATTTTCCCCAGATTCATGAGATGTATTGGCGATGTCTTGGTCTGGTTTTGGTACAGGTTAATACAGTCCTTGGGGAATGAGTTGGAAAGTGTCCACTTGTATTTTGTGGAAAAGTTTGGGAAGAGTTGGTATTATGTGCTCTTGATGCTTTTGGTAGAAATCGAGGGCCTGGACTTTCCTTTGCGGGACACTTTTGTGTACTAATGATAGGTAGCAGTTTAGATGTAAGTGGTGGCCATAAGAGGAGACAGGGAAATCCTATTATTTTAATAAATATTTCAGAGGCCAGACTGACACTGAAACAAGGAGAAGCCAGAGCAGCTGGTCCTTGCCATCTTTTAGATACTAAAGGTACAGGAACAGGGAGATAAAGAGCAGCTACCTGCTTCTGCTTTCCTCTTTGAGATGTTATCAAGCTATCAGGATCCTTGGATGGGTAGAGAGTAATGAAAGGGAAGTTCTAAAGTACACCTATTGTTTCTGTGATTTGGGTGGGTTGTGGATGTGACTGGGTGTGATTTGGGAGGGTGACCCCTCCCTGTCAGCCATCTCAGCTACATAGACCCATTATCTTTGACCATGTGTATTTCCCCAGCTCTCCATTATAAAAGTAGGAGTTGGGGACCACCATTTTGAGTCTTTGCTCCCATTTCCTTCATGGGGAACAGGAAATGCTCCCCCTCCCCCACCCCCCCACCATTCCTCTCCTAATAACCTTTACTGTTACTTTTACTAAATCTTTCTGTCTTGCTTGAATTCTCCAGCCAGACGGACACAAGAACCGAGGTAATTTTCAGAATCATTCTTATTCGGTAACACTAATTCAAACTCATGTAACAAATGTATTCCGATTGTTTATTTCTCCTGGATTCAGTTTCAGTAGTTCATGTCATCCTAGGAACTTTTCCACTTCATCTGAGTTGCCTCGGATTGGTCATTGTATGCCTTTGTAATCCTACTTATTTCTATAACGTTGGTAGTGTTAGAAATAAGACCCCTAAAGACCACCAGAGTCACAATCCAAGCCACAGGAATGGAGACTCGTCTTGGCAAGGCAATATTTACTTCTGCAGAAGGCTGTGCTGGCAGAGGAAGCACTGGGAGCGGGCAATAGGTCCTGGGCCCTGCCCCTTTATTCTGAT